AGTCCTTGAGTATGTAAGTACCAAGTTTCATTGAAATGTAATACTCACTACTTGTATCAAATGCTGAAAATTAATTAATTAAGGTAATTAACATGTACTGATATTACCATAAAAACTATCAGGTCTGGGCAGTGTCATATGACATCTATGTACCAAGTTTCATTGAAATGTGATGATTAGTACTTGAGATATCAGTGGAAAAACCGAAAATTGACTAATCATTATGCAAATTAGGTAATTAGTATTCACGGATTATTACCAAAAACTTATCAAAACCTAGCATTAGTTCAGAGCATCTATGTACAAAGTTTCATCAAAATCCAAAGAGTGGTTGTTTAGATATCAGTGGAACAGTCATGGAACAGCTAAGAATTAGCTAATTATCATGCAAATTAGGTAATTAATGAGCACGGATTTTTACCAAAATCTAATCAAATCTGCGCATTGGCCCAGAGCATCTATGTACCAAGTTTCATCAAAATCCAATGAGTGGTTCTTTAGATATCAGTGGAACAGTCATAGAACAGCTAAGAATTAGCTAATTATCATGCAAATTAGGTAATTAATGAGCACGGATTTTTACCAAAATCTAATCAAATCTGCGCATTGGCCCAGAGCATCTATGCACCAAGTTTCATCAAAAACCGATGTATTGTTCTTGAGATAGCAGTGGAACAGTCGGACACACATACACACATACACACACACACACACACACACACACACACACACACTAACTGCAAAGACTCCCATTATGTGTTTCGCACATGGGAGTAAAAAATTTGAAGGAGATATAGAACAATCCCCCTTTGCTAACACAACAAATGTTGAAACAATCTGATAATCGGTTGAATAAAAACAAAGTGATGGACTGACTGAATGACCTAGAGTTGCAGGGTTGGTAAATGCATATATGTAGCTGTACATTCAGACAGGCATAGATAACAAATCACATTCCTTTTTTTAAGACTTAAAAACAAGATCTTATTAGAGTCTAAGTATAACAACTGTTTCTTAACAATCACACCAATGTCTTTGTGTCAATAAGAAACATAAGTCATATAAATATTACCTTAATATCATTAGAAATATCCATCAGACCTTTACTTGCAGCACTCTTAACAATCGGTGTAATCAGGCCATTGGGTGTTGCCACAGCAACAGATATATCAATATTTTGCAGAAATTTAACTGAATCACCTGCCCATGTGGCATTGACCTCGGGAACATTCTGGAACAAGCCCATACATAAAAAGGTGACATATTTAAATGAATTACTGTAAAATCTGTATTAAAAGCCGCAGCTTCTAATAAAATGGTACAATGCAACAGAGGGGATGCGGCTTCTATTAGAGCATCTACACATATGAGAAATGGTGAATTTGTGGGTCTCAATTGTTCAAAAAGAATCGGTGCGGCGGTAATAGCAATACAACTCAGCAATAGATCTTGCATAAAAGGTAATTTACAAAGCAAACTAATAACCTTAAATAATGCCCTTTTTTTATTTGTGCTAGTCTAAGACATTGAATCTCATCTTCGTCTCTCCTGACTTTTTTTAATGTGCATTGCATTGCATAGTCCATGTGAGTTTAAGAAATATATAAAGTTAGAACATCAAGAATGTCAGAGATATGGCTCCAAAATTGCATTCACTAAAACCAAATGGCCACCAGTTGACCATTTTGTGTCAAATCTGACAAAGTGACGTGCATTGAAGTTCTATAAAGTTTAATGTACTTACCCAGTGTGAACAAAATCTGTCTATGCAATCAATTGTAGAAGTAGCTTAGTAAAAAGACTTCATGTAGATGCTACTTCTAAGCGGAAATTTTCAAATCATGAATAAGGTATGGTTGCATGCAAGTACAAAACATTATAAATATGTCTCACCTTTAAAGTTACAGCTATGGCTTTAATTAGGAAGTCATTCACAGAAACTTTTACATTTTCTTTAGCAAGATTTTTACGCAACTGCAGAACCTCATCCATCCGGCAGTCTACGGTAGCATACGCATGAGGTGTAGATTGCTGCAGAACAAAGACACATGGTTTAGTTTTTTTAATAACCTTCATGCACTGTTTTTTCTGAGAAGATCTTGAAGAGATTTTATAAGAATACAAATTCCTTAAGGAAGCAGAACAGAGTAAGATATTTATAAATATTTTATTTGAAAAATTGAGGAAACAACCTTGCACATGTCTTATGAAAGTCAGTGTGACTTACATGTGACAATTATATAATCCCATAATACTTTCTCTTAAGTTGACGTAAGTACACACACAGGATTACTGTCAGAGTAATATCAATCCTTGCCTGTGGCTCGGATTGGTACAAAACTCAGTAATCACTACGTCTGCTGAAAATATCATGGGATTATGTACAAGAATACCCCAAGACATATTGAATGAGTAACATAAAATATGAATGATTTAAGAATGCAATTTTAATACCGTTGGTTATCTTAAGCTAATTCAAACTTACGATAATGTCTGTTGATACAAGTTAATTATTATCTCAGCCCTTTTCTTCACAGTAATGAATAGAAAATACTTTCTAACAGCAAAAGATGAATCCTAGCAGAAATGCTCACCTTAGATTCAAGTAATCGCCTGGCTATCGTCTTTCTCATGTTATTGAGTTCTAAGTCAGTAAATGTGTTCTGTTGGAATAAAAAAACAATCAGTATTGAGATACAGAGTAGTAAGGTAAAGTAACATGTAATACATTACACAGTATGATATGTAACAGAAAGAATTATAGGGAAATTCTCTCATCTCAAATCAATTGTAAGTAAATAGTTACATTATAAGTAAACACATCATCGTGCATAATCATTTTACTCTATGAGCTATGTATATGTCTTGATAGACGGTCAAAAGCAGCATGTAGTTGTTGCTTGCCTAGGCTAGACAACATTAGCATATGTATTAAACATATTGTGGTGCTATGCAATCCATCACCTGCTGCTGACAGTTTCTTCCATTCATTTTGACTATCCATGGAGACTTTCAGCTGGTCATGTGTTATAGTATTGTGACCAGTGTTTCCCTATAAAAGCAAATTTGGCAACGAAATGTGTTTTCATCTCAAAAACTACATGGGGTCAGGTGTATTTGGATACAAAATGCATAAAATTAAAAGGAATAAATCTCTCACTGATTGAGAAAATTTCTGAAAAAGAAGACACTGATTAGAACAGATGAATAATTTATATGAGTTATATGGATTTATATGGATAACACTTATGATGAAAGATCCACTACACTCTACATGCTGCACAGATTTTTTATTTTGACACACCTGACACCACATAGTGCAAAACACCATGCCAGTACAGTATCAGAACACTGAACTAAAAACCTTAAACCAAATTGCAAACTCTTTGATTTAAGGAAAACATCAACATACTTTCAATATTAAAATACACTATGCATAAAGTCAGATATACTGCCAAAACACAAAATATGCAACAAACTCGAACACAATGGTGCAGCGACAAAGTCCACGATTCTTAGACCCTTTATAGGGACGAATTGCGCAAAATCTAATTCTCAGAGCTTGCAGCCTCAGTGTGTTGGCAATACATGCAGCGAGTGCTACTGAAAATCTTGCGAAAATGCAACAAAACTTTCTCTCCAATAAGTCTAATAGAGAAAACAAATATTTCCACATTAACATGTCCCTTGACGTTATTTGCTTACATTCACAAAGAAGGTACCTGAATGGAGGTAAGACATTGAAATATGTCTACATGTAATGCATGAATCTGATTGGCTGTCATGGTCATGAGGTATACATCATTCAAGGCATAGCATATCGTTGTAGAGTCTTACCTTTGAGGGCAGTGTTGGAGGAGTTGTAGATATTGGCTTTGTAGTTGATTTAGGACTAGCTACTGTAATGTCACCTGGTGATTTTGGTTTTGCATCTATACTTGCAGGTTTGGATATTCTGATTAATGTTTTATCACCAGCAACCACCTTTAGCAAATCTCTAATAAATAAACATAACGTAACTATTACAAGCTTGTTAATTGAGAATGTAGATTAAATACTGTAGAATACTTTATTTTCGCTTGGAATTTATTTACGCTATTTTCGCTGAAGGGATGATTCAGTGAAAATAAAATCCACTGAATATACTTTTTTTCCTATATTTCACATTCGATTAATCAAAAATCAGTGAAAATAAATTCCATAAAGAACGCCCAAAAAGCCTTTTCAGCGAAAATTAATTCCAGCGAAAATAAAGTATTCCACAGTAACAAACGGATGGATACAAACTAAAAATACAAAATACTGTTGAAACAATTCTGATCAAAAATGGACAAGAAAAATTAAGTCATCATGATTACATAAACAAATTAATTAATATTCATGTTTCTCAAATAATACATGTACTGTATTAATCTCAGTTTCCCTTATAGAATAAGACAACATGAATTGTATAAAAAAATCCAAACAATGGCGGAAATAGATGTCTTTGTAGAGCGTCCTCAAAATAAATTTGATAATACTCTGTACTATGAGATACTAACTATTGTCATGATTATTAGTGACCCCATGATGCTTTTGCCATATGCCAAACATGGTAGTTTATTTGGCTGTTGCCATGGCAATTACAATTGTTACCTTGTTACAAATCCCAACCCATGGATGAAACATACAAAATGTACCAAGTATAAAAGCAACTGAGATGGTAGCTTTTAGTAGAAGTCGAAAACATATTTTACCAAAAATATCAATACTATAGTATAGAAAATATTGTCATGAAAGGATAACATTTCATAGACCCCCTCCCACATAAATACTAAATATACTGGTAATAGCATGCATGAATTAGCAATTACCATTATGATTATTATTAATGGCAACAAAATGTCGTGAAATGGATCTGTGGGATAAGAAGGATCTCATAATTCCTGACCATGTGATATTGGATTCATTATGTTCACATGTTCCTCGCCAAATAACTACACTCGTTCAATAAATTCAATACCATAGAGTAATTAATAGACAAGTTTTGAGTTCCACTGTGATCTTGCGCACTCTGGTATAAAAACATTCCAATATTGTTTGCATACAGGAGTTAATTTTGCTGCGTAACGTTCGATAGCTCATCTGAATGCCAAGGGCCATTGAAACCAGAAAATAAATTGCGAGAGCTAGAAATCAACTCCCTATTCTTGCACAGAAACTGACTAATGGTGTTATGACTTGAAGATCCTGTACATTGTACTAGACGAAACTCACCCTTTAAGAACTCTACCATGATGTCCACTGCCAATTATATCATTAATATTCAAATTATGTTGTTCTAATAACACTCGGACAGCAGGTGATAAAAGAGTACTGTAAATAAACATATATGAACACCTTAGAGGTAAATACCCTGAGCACCACAACCTTTATTGGTCAAGTTCATTAACAACTGTCATGAAATGATACCAGCCCATTATAGGGTCAAGGACTGACTATTAATCATTGTCAATGCAACTGACAACACAAAATAGAGAAAGATGTCAGGTAAATTTCATTGAATCCAAAAACAAAATGGCATGCATATAAAAACCATTATAATATGTCTTGCATTTGTACCTAATTAAACAGAATTGGGAAATGCCTGTAATAGAAATGGGAAAGGCCACAAAAAATGTCTTCTACTATGCCTTGTCTACATACAAATGTATCGACTGGATAAAACTGGTCCAGACATGTCTGAGAAATAGCTCTGAATAGATTTATACATTAACAGACCCAAAAACAGTTTTTCACAGGTACAACAACTCAGTAAATAGCCTACAACTTATTACACATAGACAGTATAAAAGAAAATGATTTGAATTGAGTGCAGTTTATAACATATATAGTAATGAAATTGTAATATAATTATTCTTGTTACAATGGTAAATTAATTCAGTATATGAACAACTGTAATTCTTGATTCCCAATTTTCCATTAGTACATGTGTAACCTGCCAGGCAACGGGCGAGGGTAGGACAGAAATATAAAATGTCAAAAATGAACAATAGACATGCAACTCCCAAAAAACTCAGTGGCATATTCAAAACAATTATTAAAAGATAACAGAGTGAGCATGGGTGGATAAAAAATAAATATGACTGTGATGTTGTTTTTTAACTCCCAAAATACCTCCAAAAATCTGAAAATATTACGCTATAGCCAATTAAAATTTGCATGTTTGTATGTCTTGCTTAGGCAGAACAGTGAAAACATTTTCAAAGGCTGATACGAGTAAGTTGAAAGATGATGGCCCTTTTATTTGAGGTGATTTTAGGCCACAAGTTGGAAACATGAACTAAGACTGTTATTACATTTGAAATGGATGTCACTGTTCGCAATAATTATTGACTGTAATAGGGTGAGTTTTCACTTGTCAAATAACCCTACAGCGCCCTCTCTGGTCACTTCCTATACTTCAGTATATGTGACCACCAAGATCTGGTATACATTGTATGATAATCAAAAGGTCTATTTATCTGTTTTGAATCCAGTAAAAATCAAATACCTCATATGATCAGACTGATCTATTAAACATCTACAATCTAAAGAGAAAAATTCAATGACGTTTCCATTTCAATCTGAAATCATATTTTATAAGAACATCCTAGAAATGATTTATTTAAAAAACATGTAATAATTTGTTGAACAAACAGGAAATTGTTGTTTTGATAAATTTGATTAAAATAATTATTATTGCAAGAGCTCTGGCATCGCTTACAAATTTGTGACAATTACCATATTTATAAATTATTTTGAACGTCAAGTCAAATATGTAAATTATGGTAACACTACAATTTCTTAAATTACTTTTCTCTATTACTTTTACATTGTTGGAAAAATAACAAAATATGTACAAATATTCATTTGTACATGCAGTTTTATAAAACAAGTTGCCCATGAAATATACCTTGATTTGTTATCTGCAGCTTGTGCTGTACTAGTACTCGCATCAGGTACAGTAACTTCCCCACTAGAGGGCGCTGATGGCCCTGCTTCAGCTGGTATCTGTACATTTCTATAATCAGATCCTTCCTCAACTATAAGAGCTATTAAAGAGCCGATTGCCACATTACTGGTACCCTCCGCAACCTGAAGTTTAGAAGAAACATAGCCATGAAAATATTTTTTGGAATCTATTTACATGTCAACATTAATTTTGTTAGTACAAACTGGATTAATATGCTTCCAGTTTTTATTTTTTAATTGAAAAAGACAGTCCTACATAATTTTTTTTAGCTCTGCTTATCATACATGTATGAGTGATTGCCCATCATCCGCATCAGCTTTTTACTTTTTCAACTTCCTCTTGAAAACTACAAGCCTGATTGCTTAGATACTTGGTGTATGTTTACCTTAGACAGACCTCTCTTAAAATTGTACGATGATATCTTCAATTTCCTAATTTTGATGAATATTTTTGTAATTTTTAGAAAAAGTGATATTTTTAACTTCTTGTTAAAACCGTTAGTCTAATTGCTTTGATATTATACATATAGGTACATACAGGTGTACCTTTTCCCAGATTTGTGTGTAAAGTAGAAGAAAAGAAATATGAAAATGATGAAAGACTCCATGACTTTTAAGATCTAGTTGAGCATTATAAAACTGTCCGTAGCAACAGACTAAGATCTAGTCGAGTCAAATTTTATTCCATATCTACCCCAAAATTGCACTTGCTAGTTACACCAAAATTAAACATGGTTGACAATTCATAGTGATTAACTTTCAAATTTGAAGATTATGAGATAAAAATTTTTTTTGAGGTAAATCATTTTAAGTGAAATTTGATGAATATCTTGAAAAGTACAATGTATATATATAAAACATGTACCATATTAAAATTCGCCGAGATTGCAAACTGGTTTACCATAATATCCAAGTTTGCAAGAAATCGGATTAAAACTGTTTCTGATCAGTTATTGTAACCACAAGAAAAAGTTTTAAGACAACAACGAGGACATATACAATGTACCTTGCCTATTATCCATGACAAGGTAAAAATGGACAATTGCTTAAGAATCTTGAAACAGAATTCAATACAGGATGAATATATATTTGAAATAAATCTATACTGTGTAGTCAAATATCAATTTAGTAAAAGACTTCTTACTAAAATTTTAGCTAAAATTCCCTCTTCTTCTGTGTCCATAGAATTTACATTTTTATCAGTTTCAATATCACATAGGTAATCACCAGGGTGGACTGTGTCACCTGTAAACAAGAGTACCATTAAGGCCAAGATAATAAGGATCAAGAAAGCTTAGAAAGAACTACTGTGTGCTGAACATATTGGAGGCATGAAGTACATGTACAAATAAGAAATACTACATATTTACAGTTAGCACATAATGCTTCTATTAGAATGAATACACCATTTAAAAATACATGCCATGCATGGCACAGTACTCGTTAATTATCAAATTTGAAATATATAGTTTTGTTTACAGTAATATAGTTGGAACATAAACATGTCAGAAGTATGGATCAAGAAGATGATGCTTGATTATGATGGTTTTTTAACATTAAAATGATTGACATCTTGTATCTGATCGTCAAATGTGTACTTGTTCATATTGAGAAATATTGCTCTGGAACAGCATTAATTAAAAACAAAATGGCCACCAGTCGGTCAATTTGAATACATATATATGTATAACAAGATGTAAAATGAATATATAAAATTTGATCATAATCAGTCAAAGCATGGCAGAGATATGGCACTAGAACTGCATTCATTAAGACAAAATGGCCACCAGTCGGCCATTTTAAATTGGATCGGAAAAATAAAATAATGTGGATCAAGGTCCTATAATGTCAAACGTATGTACTAAGTTTGAACAAAATCCATTCATAAACGGCAAGATCCAGTTCTGAAAGGCCAGAAATGCTTGATTTTTGATGATTTTTTCAGCACAAAAACGGCTGCCATTTGAATTGATTCAGGCATGTCTAAGATACAGGTCCGGACGCAAGCACAGACCCACGGACGCGCAAAAGTTAAAACATAAGTCCCTGTTTTCAGACTGTGTCCGAGCGGGGACTAAAAACTGCAAGCAATGATCAAGGTTGTTCCAAGTACATGTAGCTATAAATATTTAATGAAATAATGACCATATACAACAACTTGATATTTTGTTCATGTATGGATATTTTGTTCATGTATATTTTAACCAAACACTAATCAGGTCTAAGCTTTATCCCAGAGTATGATACTATCTATGTACCATGAAAATCTGATAATTGGTTCTTGAGATACATGTATCAGTAGAACAGACACACACATACACGTATTACCGTCATTAACTTTTAATATAGTTGTGATATGAGCTCAATTAAAATGCGCTCCTATATAGGGTTGCGTTTTAATTAAAGTTTAATTAAACTCAACTACAAAGCAATTCAACATAGAAATGTGTTTTTAATTAAGTTTAATTAAATAAAGGCAATTACCTTCTTTCTTCAACCATTTTACAATGGTTCCCACTTCCATTGTAGGTGACAATGCAGGCATTGTAACTGGAATACCTGGTATATCTCCTCCTAGTGGTGTGGATACAAAAACACATAAACATGAGTGTTGCCTTTAAAGTGAATCAGAATATTAGTAGTGATATTCCCATGTGCATGTACATCCGACATATTAGTTGTTATGTTACAAGATGTATAGGAACCCAGGTCTCAAACAGATGCAATGGTTTTATATGATGTACAAAACCACCACTTTAACCTTGACAGTGGCCGTAGACACTACATTAACCTTCAGTGTCCATATACACTACATTAACCTTCACAGTGGCCATAGACACTACATTAACCTTCAGTGTACATATACACTACACTAACCTTCAGTGTCCATAGACACAGCATTAACCTTCAGTGTCCATATACACTACATTAACCTTCACAGTGGCCATAGACACTACATTAACCTTCAGTGTACATATACTAGGGAGTACAGCGAAAAAATAAATTATTCCAAATAGTTTTATTGACAGTATGACTTTGTTACTCAGTCAAAAAGAAACAAAACAAAAAAAAATTGAACAAAATTGGTTCAGTAGTTTTCAAGATATTGCATGTTGAATGTACTGAAAAACGTGCATTTTTGGTAAAATTGCTGGAAAAATCGTCAAATCAAGCATTTTCAAGTTTTAGATCACTGATAACACCAGGAAAATGTAATCTGGAAAGATGTTTTTTTTTTTGTTAACAACAGCATTATACTTGTTTTAATAAAATTTAACTAAGTAGTCTCTTACAATACACCACAATCTGCACAGAAGACAGGCAAAGTTTGACAAAATTCAGTTTGACTTAGTTTTTTTGGGTGCGGCACCGTTGAAAATTGGCATATTCATGAAGTTTCGAGA